ATGATTTGCACGTGTTGTATGAAAGTGTGATTTGAAGCATGACTTTATATTGTCGTTTATTTATATGATAGCATGAGATTGTTTATTGAGTTATTTGATAGCATGGGATTGCTTATTGAGATATGTTATAGCATGAGATTGCTTATTGAGTTATTTGATAGCATGAGATTGCTTATTGAGATACATGATAACATGAGATTGCTTATTGATATGTATGATAGCATGAGATTGCTTATTGAGATGTATGATAGCATGAGATTGCTTATTGAGATATATGATAGCATGAGATTGTTTATTGAGATATGTGATAGCATGAGATTGTTTATTGAGATATGTGATAGAATGAGATTGCTTATTGAGATATGTTATAGCATGAGATTGCTTATTGAGATGTATGATAACATGAGATTGCTTATAGAGATGCATGATAGCATGAAATTGCTTATAGAGATGTATGATAGCATGAGATAGCTTATTGAGATATATGATAGCATGGGATTGCTTATTGAGATATGTGATAGCATGAGATTGCTTATTGAGATATGTTATAGCATGAGATTGCTTATTGAGATGTATGATAGCATGAGATTGCTTATTGAGATGTATGATAGCATGAGATTGCTTGTTAAGTATTTAGTATCTTTTACCCATCAATTAGAGCATGAACAGTGTTTTTGCCATGATATGTTATATCTGTGAAGGCATGAGATTGTTGATGAATTAAGTGTTTGAGAAAGCATGCCTATTTAATAATTTGGTTGCAAGCATCTAGAACTCATTGTTAAGTATGTTTAAGTGTTGTTTAAAGTGATTAAGATTACTTGGTCTTAGTGTACGTGGCAAATGTTTTTCAAAAGTATATATTATATAATACTTTACAGGGTTGAGTGGCGTTATACTTAGCTTCGTGCTAACGGGTTGTTTTCTACTTGCTTGTTTGTTAACCCCTTTTAGGTGGGTCCGGTTCTTGAGAGCAATCGAGTTAGACTAGATTAACTTAGAGTGCTAGTTGTAGTCTAATCTCTTTTCAGTTATGTTTATTTTGAGACTTGGTTGTGGACCCTTTTCATATGTTTTTGTTGGTGTTGGACACCGGGGTTTTATTCCCCTAGTTTGTTTAAAGTTAGCTAAGTTTGACCTAGTTTAGATCTCTTCCTTGCCTGTGCAATAACCGTGTGTGGTGATTGTGGCGGTGACATCTCTTAAAGTTTGATGAGTAAGTTTATTATGCTGGTTTAGGGTCCCTTTCTAAGATAAGTATTGTTAATAAGGTTTAAGAAAAGTGGGGTGTTACAAGTTGGTATCAGAGCAGTACAAACCGCAGGAACTTAGGAAGTTTGAGCCTTAGGAACTCTAAGTTGAAGTCCTAGGAAGGACAAGATAAGGAAAGAACTCTAAGTTATGAGATCTAAGATGAGAAAGACTCTAAGTCCAGAGGCTAAGTGTAAGAATCCAAGTTAAGAAGTACTTTAAGAATCAGTTAGGAACGCGGTGGGGTTGGGAGTTTCCTTGCGTTTGCTTAACTGTTTATGTGCTTTATCAATGTGTTTAAAGTGCAGCTTGCCTATCTTTTCAAAGTAAAAGTAGAGAAGCTAAAAGTTGAAAGTGAAAACCAAATGTATACAGTTGAAAATAGAAGTAAAAGCTGAGAGCTGAAAGTGAAAGTTAGAAGTTGAAACTTTGAAAGTTAAAGTTCGAAAGTGAAAGCTTTGTGAAAGTTGTTAAAGTAATAAGTATAAGAGCTTATACTTGTTTCTTGTTTACGTGTTTTACTTGTTGTGAGCCTTACCTTTGAAAAAAGAAAAGTTAAAAGTTAAAAGTTGAGAAGCTAGAAGTTGAAAGTTAAAAGTTAAAAGTTGAGGGTTGAAGGTTGAAAGTAGAAAGCTATGTGATAAGTATAAGAGTTATACTCTCTCAGTGTGCTTTGCTAAGTGAGTTTTGTGATTGTTGCACCCTGATGGTGTACACTTATTTGGTAAGTTTCTATCTTCTAGATAGGTAGCTGTATCGTTTGGGGTCTGTTAAGGACTTGAGTAAGAAGAGAAAAGAGTTTGGACGTCGATTGACGCCAAAGTTAAGGTAGTAGCGTGTGCATCTGGACAATCGAAGAACCCGATAAAGAATGCTACTCTACACGCTGTTTGGAGTCAACTGTAGCAGCCTTCGCTAGAAAGAATCAACATCATCACCAATGTGGTATCGTCGACAAGATCTAAGCTAACCTCGAGAGTTGAGGTGAAATCTCTACGCTAGTAAATACAGATATGAAGAAAAAGTAGCAATGGGAGCTTAAAGACTAAGGTTTAAAGGTTCTCAATCGTGAAGGAAAGACAAGTGTAGATGTTGATGCAACAAGAAGGAAACAAATTACGCCAAGTGGATGCTTTCGGGATCAATGGTGAAGGAACTGTCAAAGATCAAACTTGAAGGTTAAAGGTTAAACTCAAAGAATAAAAGTTAAACTTGGAAAATAGAAAACTTGGAACTTAAGATTGGTTTACACAAACATAAGGCAGTTCTATTTATCTTTAAGAAGATAAGTCTAAGACGATGAATAGTAACTTTGGACTATGAAAGATATAAAGATAGGAAGAAGCGTTGTCAGTAAGTTGTAGGTCCCTATGAAATGTGAAAAAGCTAAGGAATGAACTAAGCAAGAAGGGACAAGTAAAAAAATGTAAATTTAGGGGTGATAAGATCTATGAGAACTTAAAGAAGAATTATAGTAATGAGAATGAAACAAGAGGTAGTTGAACTCCTGTTAGAATAATGGAATAATTAAAAGACTAAGTTTGGTAGAAGTAAACCTAAAGGATTAGTTCAATCGTTGAACTTTCTTGAAAGAGAATGAGACTTTGTATCAAAGGACTTTTGAAGGGATGTATCGAGGCTAAGATATGAAAGAAAGTAATGCTAAGAATTTCGTTTAGAAAGGAATGGTAAAGACTAGTAAGAAGAGAGAAATCAAAGTCGGAGTTTATTGAACCATAAGAAGTTTCGGAAAAGATTTGGGAGAAAGAGACTTGTAGGTTAGCAATGCTAACTAAAGTGGATAAGTGTTTAAAGCGTAATGAAGAAGTATGATCGCAATTCGTTGCGTGTGAATTCTCTTAAAGTAGAGAAAGTGAACAAAGCTATTAAGAAGTAAGCAACAAATTGGTAAAAGTAGCAAGGATAGTTAAGATCTTCTGTTATTGAAGGCACGACACTCCATCCTGAATCCCTAGACAGATGAAGTAAATGGTAGCTAGTACTATCAAGAATTTTTGGATAAAGTATTTGTTAATTGGTTAAATGATGTTCATAGAGTTAGTAAGGAAATAATAAAAAGAATACACTGGCATGGATGGAAAAGGGAATTACTACTCCTAACCTACAGTAAAAGGAAACTAAGACTGAGTTGAACCACACTAAGTGGACATATGGATTAACCTACCTCCATGATGAGTATTCAGGTACGTTAGGAAAGTGGGGATTGTGATACTATGACTGGTATGATGATAGAGACCGAATGATGAATGTGATGAGTAAAGCAATGAGGGTTGATTTTGTTTATTATCGATAGTTAAAAGATTAAGCAAACGATGAGGAACTAATGACAATGAAATGCAAGGATTGTTGTAGTTGAAGTTCATTAACTATGATTGAAGTGAACGTAATAGTAATATGAGAACTGGATCTCGATACAAGTAACCTTTTAGTGATGGGTGAGAGCGGTAAGCAGTTTGCAAGGAAGTACTTAATACTCCAAACAAATGAAGTCGTGATCCGTATTAGATTGAAATTGTGGGTATCGGACCCTAGAGAAGAATAACAAGATACTATTGAGTAAGAAGAAAGGTGTTTATGAAACACTCTAAGAATTTCATGCAAGAAGAGTAGAAGTTCAAAGTGTTGAGATTGAAGAAGTGGTAAGAACGATGAGAATAGGAGAAGTAACAAGGAAATTTTGAGTTAGTAAGTTCTAGTAGTTAGATTAAGCTTAGCGCCTAAGTTGTTTGGGTGCTTGTTTGATACTCAGAGATTCCTAAACTTCCTTGTATTCCAAGAAAAATTCTTAAGCCCAATCTTGAAATTCTTACCATCTTTCTGAAAGCTTTCGTTCTAAGTAGACCCGTTCGTTCATTCTAAGTTTCAAGGACGAAAATTCTTTTAAGGAGGGTAGAATGTGATAACCCAAAATTTAATTTTCTAAATTCCGTTTTAAGAAATTCCAAAATAGCCATTTTTCACTCTTCCAAAAATTTTATGATAAAAACGGTGTTGGAATAAATTATTTTGAGTGACTTTTTAAGTAAATTCAATACCGGGACTTATTCTATTTCAAAATCCTAAATTCTCGAGTACATAGTGTACCGAGTTTTTGACCAGAAAGTCAATCTAAGTGAAACTGGGAGAGATCTGAGAAACCTAAACTAAGTGGTTATCTAGAAAGTATTTCTGGAAAAAATATATTTTGACCCCCAAACTATTTAAAACCATAATTCTAGACTTTGGTCCATGATGCTTGGTGAACCACAAGCTTCCAACCCTTGTCTGATATTTTTGAGAATCAAGCCAATTTACCATCCAACCCTCAACCAATCATTGTAGAATCTCCTAGGGATTTGCACCCTATATATTCATCCTTATTCCATTGTATTCCCTTATCTCCTTCTTTGTCTCCTCACTCTCTAAGTCTGCCAAGAGAAAGAAGAAAACACAGTAAGGATTTCTAGCTCTCTTCTCCACAATTCATTTATCTTCCCTTAAGGTTTCATCTCTTAATCTTCTATCTATGAGGTTGTCTTAAGCTTAGTATGTATCTATGTATGTTTGAGGAAATAGGTGGTGAAGGTGTTAGCATCTGAGAAAGAAAGGAAAGGGAACCACACCAAGAAAAAGAAGAAGAAGTTGAGGTATAACCCATGGACTCCCACCTTTTTATATTGACTCTGTGAAGTCAAGTTTGTATTTGAAAATGTGTAGAAATTCTAGATTATTGAAGTGGTTAAGCTATTAAGTGATCTATTGTTGATCTATGATGTATTTTTGCGGATTTGGGAGTGTTGGATTGCCCAAAAACTTGTTGCAGGTGTAGAAGAATCCCTCTGGTGCACACTGTCTGTGCACCAGACTAGCTCACGGAGCTAGCCAACGGGCCCCCAAAAACTTGTTGCAGGTGTAGAAAAATCCCTCTGGTGCACACTGTCTGTGCACCAGACTAGCTCACGGAGCTAGCCAACGGCCCTAGGCAGGGCCCGTTGGCAAGCCCCGTGGAGGAACGGCCTTAGGGCACGGCTCATAGCTAGAGTTGTGGCCCTAGACCGCTGTTTGGTGAAGCCAAGTGGCGGGGCTCCTCAAGCCCCGCCGCAAGCTCTTCCAGGCCAATCCAGTGCAGTGGTCGTGCTCTTTTTGGCTCAGCTACGTGTCGTTCAGACCGGGATTCACGGGCCCTTGAGGTTCGTACACTCGGGATCGTTACGACGCACTAGTTGAATTTGACTTCGTCGAATTTGGAGTTGAAATGAGTCAAATCCGGTAGATTTGTGTTGATAAATGCTATTGAAGTGCACTGTGTATGATTTACAAAGAAGTAAAATGTGAAGTGTTCGAACTTAGCTATTTGAATGAGAAGCATGATTTGTATTTGATTGTTGGATTAAAAGCATGATCATTATTTGCCAAATTTGCTTGATTAGCATGTTTAAATAACCATTGTGCGTTATTGAGAATTTTGTCAAGAATATGAGATATTTGGTTGTACAGTGCATGAATTTATTTGTCCAGTAAAGTGAAATATTAGAGCATGATGTCTATTTTGAGTTCAAAGAGCATGATCAATACTTGATAAGTATTTGCTACGACGTTCTTGATATCTATGAAGTGATAAGAATGAATTAACATATTGTTTGCTTGACTTATAGTCAAAGAGAATTTGAGATATTCCTTATGGTAAAGAGCATGTTCAGCATATCATGAATTAAAGTGCATAAGTGGCTCTAAGTAAGCCTAATTATTCTTTCAAAAACCTATATCTATTTTGGGAAAATCATTATCTAGTTGCATTGAGAAGTTGCATGATATTTGATTTCCAATTCGTAAGAAAAGAGAAGTTGATGAGAAGTTATGTGCATAAGTTTGCATAAGTAAAGCTGTTGCATGAGATTGAAATGCATGAGTTATATCTATATGTATCTAGTGTGAGTAATCTGAGGTTTTGGAGGCCCGTTAGGACTATGTCCTTTCGGAAGAAAAGAGAAAGTAAAGAAATAAACGGACATTGCGATTCGATGTGAAGTAACGAGGTAGATATTCCCGAGTTACTAGGTTGGGTAACCCGCCGGGCTTGGAATCCCGGTCAGGGGGTGTGCACACTGACAAGTACGATGCCTGATTTCACAGAGTTTGAGAAAAGAACCAAGAGAGTGGTTCTATGGACGAGATGAGTATTAGGTCGGTTAGATGCCGAGCCTAGATAGGTCCGTTCACATCATGTGATGTTCTTACCTCGTCCACTGTAACACCCCTAAATTTTAAGATATTTTAAGCCTATAAAATAAAGGTGAAATCCAACATTTAAATCCCAAACAGAGCATAAACTATCCTTAAGAGTCGAGGTGTTATGCCACACCTAGGTTTGAGAACCTAGGTGCACAGGCTAAACTAACCAAGCATGGTCGATCCATAAATCGATATTCAATTACAACCTAAGGCACGCAGGCCATCTAATATGCTAGTACTGATCAAACTAAGTCCAAGGTTCCGACTAGCGCTCTCCATTAGCTAATGCTCATTACCTGAAAAACATTCGGTGTAACAATCGTCAGCGAATAATGCTGGTAACCCACTCCAACGCGTTAAGTACAACATAGGTAGATATAATAAACTCATTTTGAAACTGGAATACATATATACTTACGAGACTCTAATTTAAATCCAAGATCAAGGCTCAAGGCACATTAACAGACTCAACAGTATAGAATAATCATAAGGACTAACATGCATCCTAAGAACGCAATACAAGACATAACGGGCAGATAAGCATATAAATAACAATTAGAGGCAGTGAAGGTATTCAAGACAATCAATTAGCAAATAGTCATCAAAGCACACAATTCATCCTCCAACATTATACCAAGTTCCAACCTTGTAGCTCCCCTCCGTCCTTATATCAGTTCTAACCTATACCTCCAGGCCACCCTTATATCGCCACCCCTTATTCCTCCGGGCAACTACATGCCCCCACCGACAAACCACCTATCAACCACAAACATATCAAGATGGTGCCGCAGTGCCATTCACATTATCTGCACCTCTAGTGCCAATATCAAGGGGTTAGCGCATATAGTTCTAACATGACACCGTAGCACTTATAACCTGACCCATGCTCAACGGCAAGCTAGTCGAAGGTGGATTTGTGCCTTTAGCACAGTAACCGCTATGGCATGTACCTTTAGTATAATGACCGGGAACAAGTGGTGCCAACCGCCAACAATTCATTTCCACCATTCACAATCTCATCATCATCATTCACACCGACCATGCGCAATGACCACGATACTCATCACCATTCAATCAATCAACACATAATCAAATAACAATCAAGACACAATAACAACGACACGTATTACACATAAATTCCTAGAACGATACCCAAAACACCAAACGAGACTCATACACGACAAACGGGGTACAACGGGACACGGGGAAACAACAAACGGGGGAAAACATCACGATCCAGACCAACTTTCCAGTGGGTGGGCAGCGGGAGGAGGACCACTCGCCGGCGGCGGTCTACAGTTCCAGCGGGTGCCCGACGGGCAGTCGCCTGCCCGCCGGATGCCCGCTGGAAAGGGTGTAGCGGGTAGGTGGCGGGCACCCCTGCCCCCACCTAACACCCACTAACTCACAGGCAACTTTCAATCCCGGGATCTCTCGTGGAATCCGAAACCATGTCCAGACACATTCAAACACATAACGACAACACCACGTATTCAATTAACGGGATTAAACCAAGAATTATACAAAATACGTTCTAACACGATTCCTAAACATGCCAAGACTCCACATTAATGATATAACGGTTCAGGGACATCTGGAACCACAAGAACATCAAGAAATCTATATGCAAAGTCCTAAATATAAATCCTAGGCTAGACTCAACACCTGATCATGCATAATCCCACCCAAATATATCAATAACACCATAATACGAAATTCACGTTATAAACCCTAGGGCTCTATACATAACCAAAATACAAGATCAATCATATAATCAATCACAATATCAAGAACATCAAGATTATCAAATAAACACAATATAAACCATAGGCAAGGCTCTATCAAGACTCAATCACAGAATTACACATACGATTATCAAATGAGCCAATGAATAAGATATAGCAAGGAAAATAGGTTTTGTCGAGACATGGGTTACCTCTTAGCCCTAATTAATATCCTCGGCTACTAAGGTTCTTCTCTAAGATTTCCCCTCCAGTGGATTCCTCTACGTTTGGTGGCAGGGGAATTCCTTTGTAGGTTTCCCCTCGGGAATATCTTGTGCGGTAGAAGTAACTGTGGTAGGGTTTCTAAATGCTTCCTAAGTCCATATATATAGATTTAGGAGTCCTAACTAGAGCCTGAATGGTAAAGGTCCACTTTTCCTATTCCTTAGAGAATTAAGGATTTGGTTAAGGATAAGGGTCTATGGTCCACCGTGGACCACACTAATTAATTAATGGAGATTCTAGTCTAAGTAAATCCTTTTTAATTATATGGTAACGGAATTAATTAAATCATTAATCCGGATACGGAGGCCGTAGCACGGGGTGTCACACCCACGAGTAAAAGTAAAGAAATAAAGAAATCAAGTAATTACGACTCTAGAGAAAGAAGAGAAAAGTGAGTCTATGTGACTTAAGTGAAAGAAGAGAAAACTGAATCATTGTCACTCTACGAAACCTCCATCGAACAAGTGTTCCTTGTTACCAAAGAAAGGGGTGTATATGTATGTCTATTTATACTTATACTAAAGGGTCATGTTCATTTTATTGCATGATTAAATGATTTGCATGTGTTGCATGAAAGTGTGATAAGAAGCATGACTTTATATTGTCGTTTATTTATATGATAGCATGAGATTGTTTATTGAGTTATTTGATAGCATGAGATTGCTTATTGAGATATGTTATAGCATGAGATTGCTTATTAAGTTATTTGATAGCATGAGATTGCTTATTGAGATATATGATAGCATGAGATTGCTTATTGAGATGTATGATAGCATGAGATTGCTTATTCAGATCTATGATAGCATGAGATTGCTTATTGAGATATATGATAGCATGAGATTGTTTATTGAGATATGTGATAGCATGAGATTGCTTATTGAGATATGTGATAGCATGAGATATTTGATTGAGATATGTTATAGCATGAGATTGCTTATTGAGATGTATGATAACATGAGATTGCTTATAGAGATGTATGATAGCATGAGATTTCTTATTGAGATGTGTGATAGCATGAGATTGCTTATTGAGATATATGATAGCATGGGATTGCTTATTGAGATATGTGATAACATGAGATTGTTTATTGAGATATGTGATAACATAAGATTGCTTATTGAGATATGTGATAGCATGAGATTGCTTATTGAGATATGTTATAGCATGAGATTGCTTATTGAGATGTATGATAGCATGAGATTGCTTGAGATGTATGATAACATGAGATTGCTTATTGAGATATGTGATAGCATAAGATTACTTATTGAGATGTATGATAGCATGAGATTGCTTATTGAGATGTATGATAGCATGAGATTGCTTGTTGAGTATTTAGTATCTTTTACCCATCAGTTAGAGCATGAACAGTGTATTTCGCCATGATAAGTTATATCTGTGAAAGCATGAGATTGTTAATGAATTAAGTGTTTGAGAAAGTATGCCTATTTAATGATTAGGTTGCAAGCATCTAGAACTCATTGTTGCGTATGTTTAAGTGTTGTTTAAAGTGATTAAGATTACTTCACTTGATCTAAGTGTATGTGACAAATGTTTTCCAAAAGTATATATTCTATTGCACTTTACAGGGTTGAGTGGCGTTATACTTAGTTTCGTGCTAACAGGTTGTTTTCTACTTGCTTGTTTGTTAACCCCTTTCAAGTGGGCCCAGTTCTTGAGAGCGATCGAGTTAGACTAGATTAGCTTAGAGTGCTAGTTGTAATCTAAACTCTTTTCAGTTATGTTTATTTTGAGACTTGGTTGTGGACCCTTTTCAGATGTTTTTGTTGGTGTTGGACACCGGGGTTTTATTCCCCTAGTTTGTTTAAAGTTAGCTAAGTTTGACCTTGTTTAGATCTCTTCCTTGCCTGTGCAATCACCGTGTGTGGTGATTGTGGCAGTGACACCTCTTAAAGTTTGATGAGTAATTTTATTATGCTGGTTTAGTATCCTTTTCTAAGATAAGTATTGTTAATAAGGTTTAAGAAAAGTGGGGTGTTACAACTGTAATATCAAATAGGTTGATACAAGAGGAATTGACATATGATTGTGATGCTTAGAAAGAAGTGAATGAAGTATTGGTTAGTCAATTAACAGAAGAGCAAAAGGTCATCTACGATGAGGTGTTAGGTGATATTCAAAGCAAATCGGGAGGGTTATTCTTTGTTTATGGGTATTGAGGTACTGGTAAGACCTTTTTGTGGAGAACACTTTCTTCCGCTTTAAGTTCTAAGGGACATATGATTGTGATGCTTAGAAAGAAGTGAATGAAGTATTGGTTATTCAATTAACAGAAGAGCAAAAGGTCATCTACGCTGAGGTGTTAGGTGATATTCAAAGCAAATCGGGAGGGTTATTCTTTGTTTATGGGTATTGAGGTACTGGTAAGACCTTTTTGTGGAGAACACTTTCTTCCGCTTTAAGTTCTAAGGGTGAAATTGATTTAAATGTTGCGTCTAGCGGCATAGCTTCTCTTTTATTACCATGTGGAAGGACTGTCCATTCTCGGTTTGCCATACCTATATATGTTAATGAAGATTCCACTTGCAACATAAGTCGATGTAGTTCATTGGCCGAGCTTATTGTGCAAAGCAAGTTGATAATATGGAATGAAGCTCCAATGATGCACAAATTTTGCTTTGAAACTGTAGACCGGACAATGAGGGATTTGTTACGCTCCAAAAATCCAAAGAGTTATGATATGACCTTTGGTGGCAAAATAATTGTTTTTGGTGGCGATTTTAGGCAAATTATCCCAGTAGTTCCAAAGGGCACACGACAAGATATTGTGGGGGCAAGCATAAACTCCTCTTATCTTTGGAGATCTTGTAAAATATTTAGGCTAACTAAGAATTTACGCCTAAGATGTGTTCAATAAGAGCTTGAGGCTAAAGAGATTGATGAGTTTACAAAATGGATAGCTAATATAGGTGATGGAGTAGTTGGTAATTCAACTGATGGTGAAGCAGATATTACAATTCCAGATAACTTATTGCTCAAGTGTGACGATGATCCTATTGCTGCAATTGTTGATAGCACATTCTCTTTGTTTCGACGCGGTATAGGTGATCTGTCCTATCTTAAGAATAGTGTTATTTTGGCTCCAACATTGGATGTGGTTGATAGCATTAATCAATACATGAATGATCATGATCGTGCTGAAGGTATGACTTATTTGAGTTGTGATTCGATTTGTAAGTCCGATTCAAATGTAGATATGTTATCAGATTTGCACACACTAGAATTCTTAAATGGTCTAGATCTTTGACTTTGAAAGTTGGTTCAATTGTTTTGCTGTTGAGAAATATTAATCACACTCTAGGACTGTAACGGTATGAGGTAGATTGTTACAAGGTGTGCTGATCACGTGTTAGAAGCCCAGATAATGTGTGGTACAAACGCAGGAACAAATGTCTTAATTCCAAGAATGTCACTAACGTCACCGTCAGATCCAAGATTGCCTTTAAAATTCCAACGAGAACAGTTTCCATTTGATGTTATCTTATGCAATGACAATAAACAAAAGCCAAGGACAAACACTCTCAAAAGTGGATTGTTTTTGAAAAGGCATGTCTTTAACCATGACCAAATGTACGTAGTTGTTTCAAGAGTTAGTAACCCAATGAGTTTAAAATTTTTGATTTGTGGTGAGAATGTAACCTGTCTAAGTATGATGAAAAATGTTGTGTACAAAGAAGTATTCAACAATGTGTAATAAACTTACAAAGTTTAACATTTCAAATTTATTATATTTTAAATTTGTATATTTTATATTGTATATTCAATACAGTGTGTGTGTGTGTGTATATATATATATATATATATATATATAGCCGTGCATCGCACATGTGCAACTAATAATAATAATAATAATAATAATAATAATAATAATATTATTATTATTATTATTATTATTATTATTATTATTATTCTCAAAAAAATATTATTATTATTATTATAAAATTAATTTTTAATTTACATCAACTTTAAAATAATTTAATGTTAATTAATTAAATAAATTAAACAATAAACTCATAATTTTATAAGTTATTTTTACATGTAATCAACTAGTTGTAAACAACTAATTTATATTATCAAATATCTTTATACAAAATGCTAATACTACCCATCTGATCGAAACAATTAATACAATCAACTATCAGTTCACATAATAAGCTATTAGCTATCACCTATCCGCACCGGTTTAGTTCATTGATTCAGTAAACAATATTTGGGAGAAATTATTAAGGGTGTGTTTGGTTCATGAGTTTAGACACTAGAAATGAGAATCAAAATTACAGTTAGTGTTTTGTTGTCAATTTTTTAAAACACAACTATGAGATTTGGTTATTCGTTCCATTAAAACTTAAAAGTTTCATTCCCTAATTTAAAAAATGATATTATTTCATGTTATTGGTAATATAATTTTTAAGCTTAGATTACTACTTTTAGATTTTTATTTTGATTTTTTTTGGGTTCATATTAATGCTTTGGATGTCATTATATTAATATCAATTACCTTGATTTTTTATTTTTGTAATTTTAAAACATTTATTCATATTATAAGATCATACACAACCAAACATCAGTTTTGTAATCATTCCAATTCAACTCTATTACCAAACACATGCAAAATACTTTCACCAAAACTCATTATCATTCCCAAATATTTAATTTATGAACGAAACACACCCTAATTATATAACCTAATAATTATCAAACACCCCGTTAATTTGCCCCAAAGGAATCCTAGTCAGAATGAGAAAGGAAAAAAATAAAAAAGACGAATTTTGGCCATAGATTATAGGGAAGAGAAGGGCAGAAATGGGAAAATAAAGCCAATTCCCTAACTTCATCTCTGTTAAGTGGTAACCCTGTTTTTGCATTCATTCACCTCTCGCCCTCTCGGTGCTATCTTTTCTTCTTCTTCTTCACTTCACCCATTCTCTAAGCCACCTTCTCTCTCTCTCTCTTTCTCTCTCTCTCTAGGGTTTCTGTCCATTGTTTGTTTAAGGCGCAGTTTCTCAATCTTCTCTTATATTTTCTTTTTTCATTCATATACAGATGATACATATGCGTATACTTTTTGTTTGTTTTCATATTCTTGTGATCGGATTTCAGTGTGAAGATTCTTTGGCCATGGATGAATAAAAAGGTCTGTACTTGATTTCTATTGACAAGTGTTCGATATTTGATTCGAGAAGAGAACGATATTTCTGCGAAATCGGGTAGAGAAATTGGCATTTTATTTCCAGACGGTGTTGTATATGGAGACTATGACGTCGACCGTGCCTGCTAAGTCTCAGCCGCTACACAACTTTTCTTTGCCTCACTTGAAGTGGAAGAAGAATCATCACTCCAACAACCACCACCGCGGTCGCTCCCCCAAGCTCCCCGAATCGGCATCATCTCCGTCGCGGGTTGATTCGCCCATACGGAAGTCTCAGTCGCCACTGCTACAGTCGTTTCAGTCTCCCAATCATGAGCCTTTGACCCAGCCGGCGCGCCAATCTGCCGTGCTCGGCGGAGATTTGGTTTCGGAATCGAGTAGGCGGAATTCGGTTGCCGAGAAGGGAAGGAATGGGGTTCCGGAGAAGTTGGAGAAGAAACATAGGGTTTCGGAGATGGATGCGATTGGGCAGAAAGAAGGCAGATCAAAAATAGTGCTGAAACTCCCTCGGAAGAATAAGGGCGTGGAAATTCAGGAGGAGCCAAAGGCCGATGAGGTTCAAGAGGAGGGAAAGACGGCGGCGGCGCCGGCTGCTGTAGATCGGGAATCATCGGAAGAGCCAGTGTCGAAGACATGGAATTTGAGGCCCAGGAAGCCGATACAGAAGTCATTGAATTTGAATGGAGTCCAATTCAAAGCCTCTATGACAGAGGACAAAACTCAGTCGCCTCACAGGACTCCAATCAGGTCGGAGGCCGAGTTGAACAATGCTGAGAAGAAGGAAAAGCGGCAGAGATTTTCACTTGCGCTCTCCAGGGAAGAGATTGAAGAGGATATATTTGCTCTCACCGGATCCAAACCTGTAAGGCGACCCAAGAAGAGAGCTAAATCTGTTCAGAAACAGCTTGACGTATGAATCTGCCCTTTAGCCGTATTTCTTTCACCTCTTATCTTTATGATCTGATTTATAGTTACTGTTTCTCTATCTGCAGACTCTTTTTCCTGGGTTATGGTTGTCTTCAATTACTCCGGATTCGTATAAAGTCTCTGAAATACCTTTAAAGGTATAGTCTTGTTGTATAGATTCATGGCTTTCATTTCCTTTGGTTGAGTATTTGTTTCCCAGTTTTGAGAACATACTTTCTCTTGCAGGGGTAGTTGGAATTGTTCCCAGAAGTTTGTAGTTCAGATGGTCTTTGGAATTTTGAAGACATGACTTAGAAATTTTGTCATCTCATAGGAGGTTTAATCAGCTGTTACCTGTAAAGATAAAGAAGGGATAAACTACTTTTCTTCTTTCCTTCATAGCTTTTCTTGATTATCTCAGAGAATTGGAAAATAATTTTACTTCTTTTATTTCGTTGATTGATAGCAGCAGATGTACATATGGATTTTCAATCAATTTAATGGGTTTCTGCTTTCAAATTTTAATACCTTGTGCCAATGCTCTTTGAATCCCTTAGTTATACCTTTCATTTCTACTTGTAGTTGATACTATCATGATGGTATATCTAATGCTTCTTTCTATATTCATGATTCGGCCTGTTGCTGTTATCGTTGAGCTATATTGAGTGTTGAACATTGTTGGCTTCATATTTTGTAGTCTCCATAAACAGTACTGGTTTTGCAGCATTCTGAGAATCTTGTATGAGCCACAATAATTGCCTATATATGGTTTGAGGAGAACATTTTGGAATAGATGAGATTTGGTTGGAGTTTAATGTGTATGGAGGGCTAAATTATGTTTGATTTCATCCTGCTGTGTGTGCTTATATTTGTTGGTAGCCATTACATATTAGATATTTGTCCTGTTGCACACATGCTTGCTTTGACTGTGCTATACATGTTAATGATTGGCATTTGTTTGTATGGTAGATAATCTTGTGCAGCTGCCAACTGTGAACTACAAAAGGTGGATTCGTCCACCTCCCGATCCGACAGGATTGTAGAGGGTTAAATCATAATGACTTAACTGGTCAACAGATGCTAGACTTTTGGTCACTGTGCACAAGGAGCCTTTCATTTTGAGAGGTTGCTTACACATTACGGTTGGTAAGACTTGATTTTTGATTTCTTGTGACAAATATTACCTCTGTGACCAATTGAGTTATCCTAAGATCTCATGACCAAAAGATAAATGGCACTGCTAGGAGAGGCTCTCACTTAGTTAGAGTCCACATTTGGGTGATAAATTTGCTTGACAGCATCATATATTTGCTCCTAAATGGTTGTTGGCTGATATGGATGTGCTCATGTGCATTAGATTGTTTTCCAGGCTCCTTCCCAGTCCTTGGTGGCCTTATTGCCTTATTGTTAAATGGAAAATGTTGTCATTCTACAGAAGAGTGTATCTGTAATACTGGACGGACAAGCATTTTCAACTCATCTATTTCTCCTGAAAGCCAGACGAGAACGGTAAAGTTATGAAATACAGGAATATATACAACGAATCTTAGGGAGACGAGTCATAATCTAATTCAAATACATAGGGGTAAACTAGTAACCGTTTCTTTTTTAGCTTATCTCTAAGAAAAAAACCCACCCTAGCTTATCTCTAAGAAAAAAACGCACCCTAGCTCGTCTCTATGAATACCACATGAGAACTGTGTGTATTTTTTATTATTTTTTTTGAAATAAAAGAGCTAATTCATTAATCATACGATGAAAAGTTAAACATTCTTACAATCAAACATTGAAACAAATTGAAACAAATTTCCAATGTAACACGAAACTTGAATCTCTGATTGTTTTTCAAGATTGAAGCTGAATTTGTTTGGAGAACCTAAAACTTCTAACTCTATTGCGGCTCTTCTTAGGCTCTTCTTAATTTGCACTGCATATCAATGTTCAGATCTTCTTCGGTGCTCAGGATGAAGCAAACATACTCCATTATCAGATAAATTATTTCACCGTATGCAAAAAGAACTTGTCAAATAAACTCGCAAACGAAACGAGAGGGAATAACAAAACAACAGATAAAAATCAAATTTAAAATAGCTAAAACAAATCCTAAACAGTGTGTGCGGAGGCGGCTGTCGATCAAGGGAGAATGAGGGAAAACCCTATCCTAAACAGTGTGTGCGGAGGCGGCTGTCGATCAAGGGAGGATGAGGGAAAACCCTTGCAGGGAGAATATTAGAACTGTATCTATTTAATTGATTGAATAATTACAAAGTTACATACAATGAAGAAATCTCAAGAAGACTAAGATAAAGGATTATAATCTATACACATCGTCCTAATAATCCAAAATACTATCTGCATTTGCATACTCGCGAGTTGTTACAATTTAATTGGCTTATGTTAGCCTTTAATTGATGATGACAATTGACAGCCAATCATTAATCATACTGGGTCAAATGTACAATCGACAATGAGGTGGTGTACTGGTGTAATCCTTTTAGGATATAGAATAGAATAGAATAATAACATGGAAGGGAAAATGCAAGTATAATTGGACGAAAATTTGCCCCATAAAAAAGTCAAAGAAATGAACGGGAACTTAACTCCCCCACCCCCCTACCCACCCACCCACCCAAATGGTAATGTTTTTTTTGAAAAAACCAATATAGTTATATTTATAAATAACTCGAAATCGAGTTAGGTGAGATAGCATCCCAGTACATAGTCGAAACGTGATTAAAAGTCTCGGATGCTAACATATGCGCTAAATAATTTTGTGATCTAGGAACAAAAATAACTGAGCAATAAGTAAACATAGTCATAGTAGTCCTACAGGCTACAGTCATCAAGGGCATAACCAAGGTAGGATCGAGCTTGAATCGCCGATGTGGCCAAATATGCCTGAAGTGTCTGGCAGTCTGTGAATAGCTTAACTGACGGTTTGCCACATGCCCTGAGCCATGATAAAACTTCCTTGCACGCAAGAGCCTCGACCATAAGCGGTGAGAAACAGTTTTGTAAGGGTGCGTCATAAGCTGATATGTATTCGCCGTATGCATCGAATAACACCGCTCCAACTGTGGCGGTCTTCAAATGAGGCTGATACCTGGCATTGATAAAACAACGCACCAGCGACATTGTTTCCGTTCCAGTAGCAGCGACAATGGGTGGCATTAGCAGCATTGCTTGTGTTTCGGCAGGGGGGACGGGCTGCTGCACTGCCGGTAACGGCAGCAGGCTGGTAGTGGCGAGGCCGGCAGACTGTGAGGGGGCGGCCAAGTGCACCTGCTGCCACGCATGCACAGACGCTATGGCCGTCGCAATAATCTTCTTCGGCCTTGGCGGGCATGCATTCCAAACGACATCGTTCCCGAATCTCCAAATGTTGTATAATATTCCAGCTGCAAACAATATCCCATTAGCATCTAGAACATTTAGGATTACTCTAAACCATTCCTGGAAAATATTCGTTACGAAATGGGGGAGTGGAAGGTTAGATTGATCCCATATGGACCTAGCATAGTCACACATCACTAAAGCATGCATTGTGTTCTCATCCATAACACCACACATGGCACATATCGGGCTAACATCCACCCTCTTTGTAAGCAAATTGGTGGTGATAGGGATTAGGGAGGATATCACATATAGCTCTCCATAGAAAGGTCTTCCACTTAGGGGGATTTTCAACTTCCATAGGGTTTGCCACTTATCAAAACCAATATTATTCTCATAAGCGCCCACAGTAAGCCTGTAACCATTCTTGACTGAATAGCAACCATTTGTGTCTCCATACCAATACCATATATCCTCATACTCCGACGAGATCGGGATCTTTAAAATTCTTGGTATGTCATTTGGTTGGAAAATATCTGATAAAATGTGAGGATCCCATGTACCAGTAGTTTGATTAAACCCACGACTTTTGCACCGGCTAGCTGTGGTGGCATCTCTGTTTGGACCATTGGGTCCAGATCATCCTGGAGGCAGGGATGTTCCCATATCAAGGTAGACTTTCCATCCCCAATTCGATGTCTTACTCCACTTGTTATTAATTGTTTGGCAGCCATAATACTACGCCAGCAATAACTAGGATTATTTCCAATATCTGCCTCATAAAATGAACTTTTAGGGTAGTACCTTGCTTTGTATACTCGAGAGACTAGCGAGTCAGTATTGGTCAACAACCGCCATGCCTGTTTACCCAACATTGCCAAATTAAATGCTTTCAGATCCTTGAATCCCAGGCCACCATATTGCTTAGGGATACACAGTTTATCCCATGCCTTCCAGTGAATACCACGGTCACTCCCTGAGCCCCACCAGTAGCGATTCATTGTCCGTTCAATAGCTGTACACACAGATATAGGCAACAAAAAAACACTCGTTGAAAAGGTAGACATAGCTTGAGCCACACTTTTCAATAAGACTTCCTTACCCGCCCTGTGAGAGAAATTTCTTGCTCCATGAACCAATTCTCTGTCTGATTTTGTCCTCAATAAAGGCAAAGGCCGCCTTTTTATTCCTCCCCACAAAAGGTGGTAACCCCAAATATTTGCCAAAGTTAGGGGCCTGGTCAACCCCTAAAATATGTGCCACCACATCCCTGCATTCCTAATATTCAAAATAGTTTTTTAACTTGGCTGGATGTTTCAATTTTTATGGGTTCGGTTCATATTTGATTTTTTCGGTTTAGAAAAAAATGAAACCATTTGATTTTTAATTTTGAGTACTGTTTGGTTTAAAAGAGTTCAGTTTCGGCTCAGATTTTGTTCAATTTTTTTTTTTTTTTTGAGAACACTCAGATTTTGTTCAGTTCGATTTAGATTTTAATTCGGTTTGAGAATCCAAACATTTCTTAGTTCTCTTGCGCAATTACGCACATAATTAATTATTTATTTTTAATAATTTAAATTTCAAAATATAAACAACAAGTCAACAATATAAATTTCAAAATTCTCAAGCTAAAATAAGTTCAAATTGAACTGACCTCTTCAACGCGGTAAACTCGATAACTCACAAAGAAAATTGAGAACATTTAGGGTTTAGTGAATTAGGGATATATATATATATATATATTCCCATGCAAACTTGCGAATTACTAAATGAATGCATTGTAACTACTATACGAATACACTGCAACGGACTGACATCCATAGCAAGACTCCGAGATTATTCTCACCGATGCAGCGATGCTCACGACACAAAGACCTTTGACGAGAAGGGGGAAGAAAGGAAAACATACAAGGGACAAAAAAAAAAGGTAGGGTGCGTGTGACCATAAGAGTTGAACTAACAACCTATAGTATAGCTACACAAGCAGCATTCAACTAGGCTACATCACTTCTTGGGTTATCCAACGCAATAGGCCATACTTATTGTCAAGGAGCAAGAGAGATGTTGCAAGTAGTGTGGGTGAAGGTGGGTCACATGTATGGCCAAGGAGGGAGAAACCAAGGCCACACACTTGGCATAAGAAAATGTAATTCAAATCTTATAAAAAAGACCTCATGCCTCCCTTTTGGACATCATAACTTGATTTACTACAACATTCTTGTTCACACTTTCATCCTATTAACTTGGTTTTAGGGATGTAATTTGCCCGGTTCCCAACGGGGATCCCCGATCTCTGCTTCGATAGGGATGGAGATTTGAGAAAACCCCGATCTCCGCTTCGATAGGGACGGAGATTTGAGAAAATTTTCGAAGAACAGGGATGGAGAATGTATGTAATTTTTCATTGGGGATGGGAACTGGGATATCCCCTTCGTCCCGCCTTGTCCTCAAATAATTATTATAATTGTGCGTGCCTTGTCCCCAAATAATTATTATAATTGTGTGTGTGTGTGTTCGACCAAAATGGACGAGTTAACTCGGTTGAATTAGGCGCTAGGCGGGCGCCTAGACCGATTTTTACAACAGTGATATACATACATACATACATACATACATAAATATATATATATATATATATATATATATATATATATATTAATTTTTTAAATTAGACTTATGTTTTAGTTTTTAAAATTAAAAATCACACTAATTTAAGATTTTGACTAAGACTATATCGGTGGCAAAAGTTTCCTGCGGGGACGGGAATGGAAACTATTTCCAACTCCCCGCCGGGGACAGGGACGGGAACGTGGTCGCGATTTCTTATACTCCACGCCCCGCCCCGTTGCCATCCCTACTTGGGTTTGAATCCTTTTGAATCCAATACTACTTCTAGCGAATTACTTGGGTTTTATTATTTATTACTTCCTATGTCCCATTATATGTGGGGGTTCGGTTAACCAAACTTGACTGAAGTTATTTACAATTTAATTTTTCATAATATTAACTTTATAATTAGTAAGTGAAATTTATATATTTAGAAACTACATTAAAAGTACTATTAAACACAAATCAAATTTAGAAATTATAAGTAAATACTAATGAAAAGAGTAAAAGACATTTTTGGTCCTAGACTTATAGTGGTATAGACAATTTTGGTCCTTTATAAAAAATTTTGCCATTTTATGGACATACTTATTATGGCGATGACATTTTTGGTCCTCCGTTTATAATTCTGTTAAATGGTCATCTAAAAGAAGGGCAAATGCGTCAATTCGGCTTTATCTCCTATAATGGCCGCTGCTCTTCCTCTTTCTCCGAGGATGATGACACCTTTCTTCTACAATATTCCCCCAAATGAAAGAATCCAGAAGAACAAAGCTTCTAGAGCATGACAACCTCAGGTAAGTTCAAAGTTAGCTTTGTCTATAATCATATTAATGCAGACAGCCTTGACTTTCAGGATGGTGGTTGGAAAAATATTTAGAGGCTAATGGTGCCTGGGAAACTGAGAGCTTTCCTATGGCTAGTTAGACACGAGAGGCTCGCAGGGAATGCCGAAAGAGGCCGCCGCCACATTACAACAACGGGGAGCTGCACTCTCTGCCCTTATGAAGCGGAGACGACGGACCATATTCTGCAAAAGTGTCGGAAAGCAACCGAAATTTGGAAAAAGCTCATGGGCGGTGAGGAGGCGCGTCGAATGGAAACCATGCCGTTTAGAAGATGGCTGGATGATAACGTCAGAACAACGTATGGTGACAAATGGCCGGTGGTTTTTAGCGTAGCCTGCTGGTGGATCTGGAGGTGGCGCAACGACTTGGTCTTCAACAATGTGGAACTCGAGGATGGCCACAAGCTGAGTCGAATTACTGACTTAAGTACTGAGGTTGACAGAGCTTTTAATCAGGATCATGCTATGAGACAAGGTTCTAGTGGTAACAGAATCCTGAAATGGAAGAAATCGGAGGAAGGTAGTATGTGTCTCAATGTTGATGGTAGTTTCATTGATGGCATTGTTGTAGGGTGTGGAGGTGTAATGCGAAACCACACTGGCAGTTGGGTAGGAGGCTTCATGCACACCATGCCTGTCTCCCATGCAACGGAAGCTGAGCTCAATGCTATCTTGTATGGCCTGGAGTGGGCGTAGAACAGAGGAGTTAAAAACTTGGTTATACAAAGTGACTCCCTTGAAGCAGTTGATTGGCTTAATAGTAATTCATTCCAGTAGGATATTTGAGAGCCACTATGTCACGATGCAATTTTTGGAAAGCAAAGGATTGAAATATTAAGGTGTGCCATATTCTCAGAGAGCGCAAAACTGTGTTGCAGATGTCCTTGCTAATATGGCAAGGACGAATGGTGATCACTTTATCAACCTCAGCAGACCACCTGAGAGAATCATCAGTGCTCTGGAAGACGACAGGCTCGACCGGCTTCGGTTTAGAGGAACTAATAAGTGGAACTAGCCTTTTCCTGGGTTTTCCCTTCTCTTTCATACAAAAAAACTAGCATACATTATTGGGCAGCACGGTGGGGTTCGAATTGGCCGTGGTCGTCGAGTTCATCTCGCTAAATCTAGTCAGATTCTGAACAAAATAGGCAGGGATGAAATATAGAGGAGATAACATGAAATGACGCAATTACCCCTCACTTACACGGTCATTTAACTTAAATATAGACGGAGGACCAAAAATGCCCTCGTCACAATAAGTCTGTCTATAAAATGGCAAAATTTTTTATAAAGGACCAAAATTGTCCGTGTCACTATAAGTTTAGGACCAAAAATGTCTTTTACTCTAATGAAAACAAGCAAATAAAAGAGAGTTGGTTTGACCAATTAATAGTAAATAAGACAGATAAAATGAGACAGGGGAATATTTATTTATTTCTCAGGCTATTTTACGTACTGGAAAATTATATCGTGCACCGCGGCAAAACGACATCATTTTGTTTAATGAAAAGAAACGGCATCAGTTTCCCGCTGTTCCGCACCCTTCCGCAAAAACTAACTTCTGTTATTCAGTTTCATTTTGTATACACTGCAGTTTCAATTCAACACAACTACAGTTTCATTTCGATATAACTACAGTTTCATTCCAATATAACTACATTTTCATTCGATATTTATAGACTCAAATATGTGAAAATGTTATTTAATTTTATTTTATATACATTATAGTTTTATTAAAACACAATTATATGTTCATTTTGATGTAATTATAGCTTCATTGTACAATATAGACTCAAATATGTGAAATGTTATTCAGTTTCATTTTATATACACTGTAGTTTCATTTCACCACAACTACAGTATCATTTTGATATAACTGCAGTTTAATTTGATAATATAAAAATAATACGTGAGACAGTGTCGATTTAGATATACTGTAGTGTCAGTTTAGATACTCTGTAGTGTCAGTTGGTAATTAACATACAAAAAAATGCGCGCTTAGTTAACACTAACAACGCGCCGTTTCTTTACTTAAAGAAACAGCGCCGTTTTAATCGCGGTACACGTGCGCCACTGTCCACGATATAACGACCCGTACGTACTCTTTTAGGCCTAGAGCCCCAATCAATACTATTATTATTATTATTTTATTATTATTATTATTATTATTATTATTATTATTATTATTATTATTATTATTATTATTATTATTATTATTATTATTATTATTATTCCTTCCTACCCCTCATTTTGTATATCAATACCTGATTTATGATGTGTTCGGTCCTATAAAATCATCAGTTTTCATCTCATATATATATAAAAAAAATTAAAAGGAAAATCCTTAAAAAGTTTAGATAAATTAAATACTTGAAATAAACCAGGACTACGTGGTCTAATGGTATCCGGGTTGGACTTCCAATTGGAAGATTATGAGTTCAAGCCTTAGTGGAGGCGTTATTGGTTCTTTGTGTTTCAGTAGGTTGAGAGAGTATATGAACAGATACTACAATGTAATAGAGCCAGTAACTTTCAAAAAAAAAAAATACTTGAAATAACTTTATTTAAGAACTTACTTTTTATATTTCCCAAATAATACTAAACACATTAACTATTTTTTTAAAAAATATATATATTTCCCATGATTTTTTATTGAAGAAAATAGTAGCAAACAACGAGTGTTGAAACAAATGTCATAAAAATATAATATTTTGAAAGAAAAAAAAATACAATACAGTGAGGGGGGTGGGGGTATTATTTCTTATCCCAAAATGAAATTTGTGTTCTCAAATCTTTAAAAAAATAAAAAATAAAAAATAAAAATGGAGAATGTGGGCTAAATATTAGGCGGATAGTGGCAAAACCCGCCATAACCGTCACTGCCCCAAAAGGCCAAAACCAAATAGATAAATAAGGGAAAAAAAAATAAAAAAATAAAAAAAATGAAAAAGAGAATTATTATATAGAAGTGGAGTTTGGATTTTGGAATAGAAGGTAAAGGAACAACACTACTACTAGTTAATAGTTATATCACATGAGAAAAATCCAGCAAAAAAAGCACGGTTTGGATTCGCATTGGGAAATTGGAGGTTAATGGAGGGAAGAAGTTGGTGCAATGGAGAGAAGAATGAGTTTGGGGACATAAAGAAAGGTCCATGGAAAGTTGAGGAAGATGAGGTGCTTCTCAACCATGTCAACAAGTATGGCCCCAGAGACTGGAGCTCCATTCGATCCAAAGGCCTATTGCAGCGCACCGGCAAATCCTGCCGCCTCCGATGGGTCAACAAACTCCGACCCAACTTGAAGAAGTAACTCTTCGATTCCTTCCTCTCTCGTTTTCGCCGTTCAATTTCAGTTCTACGCTTCCTTGCAAGGGAGACATTTCGTTAATTTTGCTTAAAATCTTGCTTTTTAACTGCTAGTATTTCGCTTGGTTCTTTGTCTTCAGTTTGAAATTGGCAAGTTTTTTGCGATATTAGATGTAGAACTCAGTGTAATATGTTATTTTATTGCTTCCATTTTCCTCTTCAATTTTCGTGGGGTTCTTTTCCTTTATCTAATGTATTGGGAATCTGTCTGTGTTGGTTAAACTAGAATTGTTTGAAATGAATAAATAAAGAGAAACTCTTGTGTTATTTGGTGAAGATTTCCTGCCTTCCTGGTGGGGTTGGTGATTATGTTCCTAAAAGGCTATAACTAGAGCATAAAATTACTTATTTACACAAATTATGGCATTTAATGAAGATTTAGTTAGTGTGGTTGTCTGGTAGGGTGGGTGTTCATGATCATATTTGGTGAAATGTGTGTGATACCTCTTTGTTTTGCTTTTGATTTTCCTCCCTTGGGGTTGTTTGTCAAACAGTGGAGTGAAGTTTTCAGCAGAGGAGGAGAGGATTGTGATCGATCTTCAGGCACAATTCGGGAACAAATGGGCAAGAATAGCGACGTATTTGCCAGGAAGAACGGACAATGATGTGAAGAATTTTTGGAGTAGCAGGCAGAAGCGGCTGGCGAGAATCCTGCACAATTCAACACCACAATCTAGCAAGTCATGGGGAGACAACAATAGTGGCAACAGTGTTAAGGAAGTTCCCGCTCTTCCTGATGTTCCATCCTTGGAGGTATATAATTTGTTCGGTTTTTGTTTAGTTCACTTAGGAGTTTATATTTGTAGAGATGCGTAAGCCATTCAGGCTCTTTACACTTTAATGCTGTTAATTTGTGCAATGTTAATTGATGCTAAGGAGCTCAAACTTGAGGTATTCCTATGTGTTCATCCTTTCTTAACTTGTGGTTATGATTTTGTTTCATCTCACAATTCAGGAACCTAAGTTCAGATCCTCTACAAATGAAGAATCTTTGTCTAAGCATCAGTCTTGCTCATCATCATATATTGAAAATTTCGAGGCAATCCCAATGCTAGATTTAATGAATCCAACTTCATTCACTTTCGAGCCTAATCTGCTACAGCTTGAGTATGCTCAGTGCGAGACCAAACCCTTCCACGGGTCACAGCCACAGCTGCTTCCCTTTCCACAGATACCACAGGTTCAGACGACAGACTTTTCGTTGCCTCTAGAAGGTCAAGATTTCGCCTCGAGGCTCGGGGATCTCAGCTTCTTGGATGCGTTTGGGAATGCGAGTGGTCCAGAACCAGAGACGAGCTGTGAGGGTGTTGTTGTGAAGCAAGAAACTGATGATGTTGTGATTAACCCTCTAAGCCCAGATAGCTTCATTGATGACTTCTCCATAGACATGTTTGATCATATTGAGCCACTGCCCAGCCCATCTGATTGGTGATTTGGGGATCTCAGTTCTCAGATTCTCAATGTTGTTTGAACATGAAGGAACTGCTTTGTTTCTGATTTTAACCATATGCTAACAAGGATTTCATACTCATAGGTTCCCATTATTGTAGCAGTGGACTACCTGATGTTTCATACCCTGTAATTTGTAATCCACAGTTTAAATACATCACATTTTCTGCCCATTAACTTTCATCTTCACCACTTCACATACTTAGCATTCTCACTTTCAGATTTACCACTACTAAGTTGAAATTTTCTTGGTTGGTTTTCAAGTGTCCTAATAAAGTGCTAGTGATGAAAATGGGTTAGATCATGGATATAATATTAAGGGGCGTTTGGTTCAAGTTGTCTAACATTGTTTTGGTAATATGAGTACCATAATGCTATTTAATTATTTATCACATTATTTAGTTATGTTATGAGATTACTTATATTATTTCAAAGTTGATGTGGTGATAATAATCTTAGACGATTTGATTATCTTTCTTTCTGTCATTTAATCTAAGGACACCTCCTAAGATGACCTTTTAATATTCTAAGGTTGCCCTCTATTTAACTATAACAACAACAATAATCAATCTATCTATCTATATACATATATAAAAACAAAATGTTCTGCTAAAAGTAGATTGTTAGATTTTCCTGCTTAAAATATCTTTTTAAATTGCTAAAAGTAGAGTATTAGATTTTCTTGCTTCAAATATCTTTTTAAATAGAGAAAGTATTGTATTATCACCATAAATTATGAAGCAATAAGCATGCAAACATTTATTATTATTACATTTACTACAGTGGATGCAATTTTTAATAACTTGGGCAGCAAATATACATTAATTACTGTGCTAGCTATAATTAATTAGTATGCCAATAAAAAAAAATATGGGAATTGCAATGAAATGGGAATTGGGACAGAACTGTTTTTAAGAATTGGGCATTGGAACACACATGTTTAATGTTTCGTTTGATCGAGTTCAACCTCTGTTCAATTTGAAATGTGACGCGGTAGCTCTGTTTGACAGAGCTTATAACTTATTTTAAGCTACTAATAAGCTATAAGCTCTGTTTGGTAATGTTCTCAAAATAAGTTCCTAGGTTAAAATAGGAGATTATTTTGGAACGCTACCTTAAGTAGCGTTTCAAAATAAGCTCCTAGCTTCCTAACTTTTTCTTTTCCATCTTTACCCTTATTATTTTAAAGTAATGACATCTTTTAACCTTATGAATTAAAACCCTTTCTCTTCCCTATCCGCAACTTTCACGTAAATCTCTTCATCTTCATTTGCATTCAGAAACTCGTCCATCTCCCATTCGCATTTCGCAAAGCATCGTCCATCCCACATTCACATTTCGCAGAAGCATCGTCCATCAGCCACACTCCGCAGTCGGCAACAATCCAATAGCCATAGCCCATAGCATCAGTCCTTAGGTATGTATATGTTACTTTGTTGTAGTTCTTGTATATATTGCATCTTGATTCAAATAGTTTAGTCTCTGCAATTTAGTTTCTGTGTTCTGTTGATAAATAATAAAATTTGGTATCTTCTTAGTTCTGTTCCTGTTTCTGTGTTTTGTTGGTAATACTTATCATCCTAGGTTTTGCATTCCCATCCATTTAGTTTCCTTTGATGATTTTCATTATTGCATTGCCATAAGAGTTTGAAACTTGACATGCAATAACCTGGTGCACCGGTTGTTTCTCTCTTCTCATTTCTCTTGTACCAGGTGGAATCCTTGAATGTGATGAGAATTATATTTTCTTAAAGCATGTATTGTTTTGACATTTTCTGTCTTTCATGAGCTCTTGGTGCATAAGAAATAGAAATAATAAATAATAAATTTGCAAGGGAAGAACTTGATAGATTTTTGTTGCAGAATCAGTTGAACCTTACATGGCAGAAAAAGTTAGTACTCTGTTATATGTCTACTTGCTGTTCCTATTCCACCAAGGACTATAATAAGTAACAACCAAATGTCACCAAATGATGAAATGATGAAGGGAATTTTACCCCTGGTAACCATATGTCTACTTGTGTTCCTCTGTGGTTTGAGTACTAAGATCTTGTTCAATCAAAATGCAGACGTTTGCTATGTTAGGGAGTATTGGATAATATTAGTTGCATATTGTAAATGATAGTCTTGTGCACTGGATCATTTTGCACATTCATTTTGATGGACATCCTATTTGATGTGTAAATGCATTTAGAATGGACTCCGATTTGTCTAAGCAATTATGTGAAGACTTATATTCAAAATATGGATTACAATCTACTAGGAATATGTCATATGTGGAGAAAGTTGGTATATTTATATACACACTTGCTATGGGTGCTTCCAATAGAGAGATTGGTGAGCGATTTCAATGTTCCGGCAAAACAATAAGTAGAGCATTTCATGAAGTTTTGGAAGCAATTAGTGGTAGGAGTAGCGGATACAAAGGCCTTGCACGTTATAGTGGTAGAAGTTTACCAAACACTTTCAATCATAACAGCTAGCATAACAGCTCTTCAGTTTTTAGCTCCGAGCTTATGGCTCTGTTTGGCAGAACTTATAGCTTATTTTAAGCTAGTAATAAGCTATAAGCTCTGTTTGGTGATGCTCCCAAAATAAGCTCCTAGCTTAAAATAAGAGCTTATTTTGGAACGCTACTTTAGGTAGCGTTTCAAAATAAGCTCATAGCTTCTTAACTTTTTATCCATCTTTATCCTTATTATTTTAAAGAAATGACATAACTTATCCTTCCCAATTAAAACCCTCTTCTCTTCTCCTTTATCTGCAACTTTCAGCGCAATTATTATTATTATTATTATTATTATTATTATTATTATTATTATTATTATTATTATTATTATTATTATTATTATTATTATTATTATTATTATTATTATTATTATTATTAGATTTGCAACAATATTGCTACTTCATTATGAGATGTTAGATCATGATTATGCTAATAGTTTTATTTCAAAATGTTAATTTTTTTTAAAAGACAAAATGTTAAATTTACAAACTAATTTAAATTTTATGAAGATGTCCTTTTTAGCCTTTTTATATTTATCAGCTATCAAAAAGCTAATTTTACCAAACACTTTCAATCATAACAGCTAGCTTAACAGCTCTTCAGTTTTCAGCTCCGAGCTTATAGCTTTTCAGCTTTCAAGTTCTTTTCAACTTTCAGCTCCTAACTTATAGTTTTTCAGCTAGGTTTGCCAAACAGAGCCTATAGCTTTTCAGCTTTCATCTCCTAGCTTATAACTTTTCAGTTAGGTTTGCCAAACAGAGCCTGTGACTTATCATGGTGGAATGTAGTTAAATAGTTAATGTCTACATATTTATCAACAATTGATTTTAAGTAGGATATGACAACGAGATAATCAAAAAATTATGTGATTAAGCGTGCTTGACTTACAACAGTCACATGATGAATACAGAAAAAGTAAGCATAAGCATAATGCAACGCTAAAATTCAATCGTTTTTAATAATGTTGGAAGTAGAAATAAGCATTTATTGGGATCACCAATTTTATATGTGGTTTTAATATAAATGTTAAGGAAAATTGTAATTTTCGTCCCTAAGTTATAGAGTAATTGTAAAATTTGTCCCTGAGCGTTGGTCATGCTCACTTTTTGTCCATAAGTTATTATTGGCGTCAGAGACAGAGCCAAAGGGGGGCGGGGGCAAGGGGGGCAGCTGCCCCCCCTCACCCCATCCCACTCCTACCCTATATATAGCCTTTGTATATAATATGTATATATAGTACATTATTAGTATAAGTATTATAAAACAGATTATGTAAATAAGAGCTTTGGTAGACAAGGTGGTAGGAAACGCGTATGGATTTCAAAATGGCTTGGGTTTGAGTCCTTGGGTTAGTCACAATCTTTGCTTCAGCACAATTAAATTTTGGCATGATATATATAACTTTTTTTTATATTAATAATGGGATGTCTTTCTTATTTATATTAATAATGAGATGTATATATAACTTTCTTTATATTAATAATGGAATGTGTAATTTATAATGTGTTTTATATTCGAATTTTTTTTATCAAATTAATTATGTTTCATATTTTGTTATAAATATTTTTATAAAGTTTTAATATGTTTTATTTTTCGCTATATCCAACAATATTTATTGTTATACTTCTTAAGTGTTTCATTTTTTTTTCAAACTTTCTCTTTTATTTTAATTTTTTGCCCCACTAAAACAAATTCCTGAATCCGCCACTGATTCCATCCCACTTCTTTGCCCCCCTCTCAACATAATTTCTGGCTCCGTCCCTGATTGGCGTTGCACTTTCCGTCCTTGAGTTATAGAGTAATTGTAGAATTCGTCACTGAGTGTTGGTCATGCTCACTTTTCGTCCCTAGTCTTTATGATCGTTATATAGTGTCAAGTCTGTTGTTGTGTCTTGCTTCTTGATCCTGGTTTAAAGCTAGAGTTGCTTAGGTTATATATGTATTCTGGTTTCAAAATGATTTTCTTATATCTACCTACATTGTACTCAACGCGTGGGAGTGAGTTACTCAACATTATTCGCTAACAGTTGCTATACCGTATATTTTACAAGTCTAGGTTATATATGTATTCCGGTTTCAAAATGATTTTCTTATATCTACCTACATTGTACTCAACGCGTGGGAGTGGGTTACTCAGCATTATTCGCCAACGGTTGCTATACCGTATATTTTACAGGTGCTGATCATTAGCTTTGGAGCGCGCTAGTCGGACTCATGGGCTTAGCTTAGTTAGTCCTAGCTTTCGTAGTTGGCCTGCGTGCCGTGAATTGTATTTGACTATTGACTTATGGATTACACATGTTCTGATAGTTTTAGCCTGTGCATCTAGGTTCTCAAACCTAGGTGTGGCATAACACCCCTACTCTTATGGATAGTTTATGCTCTATTTGGATGATTATTGTTGGTTTGCCTTCATTATGTAAGCTTTAAATGTTTTAAAAATTAGGGGTGTTTGGATGATTATTGTTGGTTTGCCTTCATTATTTAAGCTTTAAATGTTTTAAAAATTAGGGGTGTTACATTACTAGTATACCATATGCTTGAGGGGAAGTATTAGGACTATGTATTTGAGTCAGTTTATAACTCCTTATTTCAGGATCCGACTCTTCCAAAAAGCTGAACCCCAAGCTTAACCCCAACCCTAAGGGCCCCCCACACCCCGGCCCAATGCTCAA